AATGTCCTGGCCCCACTGCTGGACCTCCTGATGGCACTGGTATTTCTGGCCACTGTGTGACACAGAGTGTTGGACTGGATGGGCCTTTGGCCTGATCCAACATTGGCGTCTCTTATGTTCTTATGTTCTTAAGAGGGCAACTCGAATGATAAAAGGGTTGGAACACTTTCCCTATGAGGAAAGGTTAAGGCGCTTAGGGCTCTTTAGCTTGGAGAAACGACGACTGAGGGGTGACATGAATGAGGTTTATAAGATTATCCATGGGATAGAGCAGGTCGAGAAAGAGGTACTTTTCTCCCTTTCTCACAATACAAGAACTCCTTGTGGGCACTCCATGAAATTGCTGAGTGGTCGGGTTAGAATGGATAAAAGGAAGTACTTCTTCACCCACAGAGTGATTAACACTTGGAATTCACTGCCACAGGAGGTGGTGGCGGCTACAAGCATAGGTTTATAAGATTATGCATGGGATAGAGCAGGTAGAGAGAGAGGTACTTTTCTCCCTTTCTAATACAAGAACTCCTTGTGGGCACTCCATGAAATTGCTGAGTGGTCGGGTTAGAATGGATAAAAGGAAGTACTTCTTCACCCACAGAGTGATTAACACTTGGAATTCACTGCCACAGGAGGTGGTGGCGGCTACAAGCATGGACAGCTTTAAAAGAGAATTAGATAAGCATATGGAGCAGAGGTCCATCAGTGGCTATTGGCCACAAGGCATAGATAGGGGCTCTGGGTGACATCATCACACCAGGCATATCTGCACAATTCGAGCTGGTGGGTAACAGTACCGTCAAACGGGGGTTTCCCCGCCCCCCGGGGGTACCTGGCAAGCCTAATGTTTTCCAGGGGAACTGATCTCTGATGTCTGGAGAGGAGCTGTAATTTTGGGGGAATTTCCCAACTTGGAGCGGGTAACCCTGCCAGTAAAGCTGCTGGTGAGTGTGGGAGGCCACTGGTTTTAAGAGAGACGCATTGGCTCAAGGAGCGTGGAGCTTCTGCCTGGCTTTCTTCCGCCCGCAGATGACTGGGGGTGCCACGGGGCATACCAGTCCGAGACGGGATGCGGTTCTGCTCTTGAGAAAACGTCTCATGGTCCTTCATGCCTCTTCAAACCCATGTCCTCCACAGGAGATCTTTGGCTACCAGACCCACGGGTTCCGGAGGGCCCTGTGCCTTGCCGGGTACCTCCTGTCCAGCGGAGCTCTCCTGCTCGTCTTTTACTGGAAGCCAGCGTGGGACGTGTGGGCCAACTGCGTGCCGTGCGACTTGCAGGAGGCAGACGTGGTGTTGCTCAGAGCCACGGTAGGTCCCTGGTCTTTCTTCTCCCAGGCAGGTCCACCTCCTTGGGTGTTATTTTTATTTATTTTATTTATTTAACCTTCGATTTATATACCGCCCTAACCCCTCCAATGGGGGTCTCTGGGCAGTTTACAACTTTGTAGTGCTAATCACTTTTATGGATCCCTAACTATGGGCACATTCTCAGGGGTTGGGTCAGCCTACCTAGCACCCCGGTGCTGGTGGTTCTTCTTTCTGGTCTCCGGCTTCGGCTTCGGCTTCCTTGGCTCCTTCAGTCAGGGCACGCTGTATTTGGTCCGCCCGGGTGCTCTAAGCACTAATACGTATTTTAAGTTATACTAGCCTGATGCCCACGCTTCGCTACGGTATTTAATTTCCGTAAATCCAGTTGTAATACTGATGATGTGAAGTTTGAAATGTGACATTTGTTGTTGGAATTCTAACAGAGAAGACTGTAGTGTTAGACATGAAGCGAGACATACGTACTTGTTTTTTCCCCTCTACCCAAGGACCTCTCTCTAGACCACCTTGGTGGTTCTGCCCTCAGGTGCTAGGGTCATCAGGCTGCTTGATGGGCTCACTCTGGAGCAGGCCGCATAGAACTGTCCATTTAAGAAGCAGCCGTCTGTGAAGTCCACTCCTGCCACCTTCCACGAAAGTGTTGGCCTCTCTACTTGTGTTCCTGGATCGTTCTAACAGCTCTGGGTGGTGGTGGTCACCCTGGCCACCAAAATGACCTGTGTTTGGTGGAAGGTGGGTTCAGAGGCCACACCTGGCCGCTTGGGCTGCTAAATATCCTTCCTGGCTTCTAGGGGTTCAAAATGGCTTTTCTGAGAAGGATGCTGGTTTTAAATTGCTTGTAAGCTACCCTGAGCCGCTTCGGCGGGGTGCAGGGTAGAAATTTAATAAATAAATAAACAAAAGAAATAAATTTTGCACACTGTTTTTTCTCTGAACTGTGGCCCCAATGAGCTTGAGGGAAGGTAGGTCTGGATTCTATCCAAGAGCAGCCTTTCCCGCTCTCTCTCTCTCTCTCTTCTTGCCTACAGGAGGGACCCAAGAGGCTCCTCATCCTCTGGGTGGCAAGGAAGCTCTGGAACATAGATGGAATGGGACTGATGTGGTCTTCCTTAGTGTGGGAATCCACATTTGATCCCAGTAGATCAACCGTCCTGATCTTGAAAAAATTAAGGCCATTTGCTTTTTGTGGATGGACTTCAAAATATTCTATTACATTTTGGCTGGAGACTACAACGGGACAGTTGAAGTTTTGGATAGACAACCTCAAAAGGGACACGGACAAAGTGGTAAATTGCCAAAGATTTTTTTTGATTTAGTACAACAAGAGAAATTGGAAGATGTATGGAGAAAGTGGAACCCTACTAAAAAAGACTTTACTTTCTACTCCAATAGACATAATTCTTTTTCAAGGATTGATATGATATGGATGTCAGGGGAATTAGCAATTAATACCCGGAAAATTGAAATATTGCCTAAAGTTATTTCAGACCACAGTCCACTGATATGGAGTATGAAACAGCCTAATAAGCAACATTTATGGAGAATAAACGAAGACCTGCTAGACAGGAAAGAAACAGTGGATTTATTAAAGGAAGAAACGAAACAGTTTTTCCAGCAAAATTTGAACAAAGAGACTCCTATCCAAGTGGTGTGACATGCATACAAGGCGGTGATGAGAGGACTTCTCATCTCGCAAAATACGAGGCTAAAGAAAGAAAAATTTAAGAAGCAAGCAGCAGTTTTAGAGAAAATTACACAAAAAGAAGTAGAACTAAAGAAAAGACCGGGCAAAAAGACGATTATAAAGGAACTACAGCTATTGAAGGAACAATTAAATGTGACATTGAACCAAGAAATGTATTGGAATCTAAAAAAACTTCAACAAAAATCCTTTGAAGGGGCCAATAAACCCGGGAAATATTTGGCTTGGCAATTAAAAACAAGAAAAGAAAGAAGACTGATATCAAAGATAGTGGAAGAAGGAAAAGAATTCGTGGACCCTAATGGAATAAAAAGAAGTTTCTTCAAGTACTACGTGAAATTATTTCAAGGCAAGAAAGCTGATCTTGAAAAGATAAAAGATTACTTAGACAATACAACACTGCCAAAGATACAAAGCGAATTCAAG